GAGGAGGAGGAGGAGGAGGTTGGATTTATACCTCGCCCTTCACTACCCGAAGGAGTCTCAGAGCGGCTCACAAACTCCTTTCCCTTCCCCTCCCCACAACAGACACCCTCTGTGAGGTAGGTGGGGCTGAGAGCTCTTGACAGAACTGCTCTGAAAGAACTTGTGGCTGACCCAAGGTCACACCAGCAGCTGCATGTGGAGGAGTAGGGAATCAAACCCGGTTCTCCCAGATTAGAGTCCGCGCTCCTAACCACCACACCAAGTAGGAAGGACCAGCAGAGGAGGTGTCAGCATGGTGCAATCGTTAGAGACGTTGGACTGGGATCTGGGAGACCCACGTTCGAATCACCACTCTACCACGGAAGCTTGCTGGGTGACTTTGGGCCAATTCCCTTCAGGCCCCACGGCTAGTAGCTGCTGACAGACCCGCCTTCCACAAATCTGTCACGTTCTTGGGATGGGAAGTCTGCACTCAGCCCAACGCTCCAGTCCCAACACGGGCAGCGACACTCACCCCCGGCGCTCGCCCCTCCGGCCCCGGAGCGCCTCATGGAACTGCGGGTGGTAGGCCGGTAGCCGGGCAGGCTCATCAGGGCGGCATGGCCCGCTGCGTCGTCAGGGGAGGAGGCGCTGAGCCTGGCGAGGGACTCCTGGGAGGGCAGGCTGGCCAGCGAGCGGGTGGAGGAGGTGGCCGCCGAGCGCAGGCGGGTCTTGACCGACTCCTGGCTGGGGGCGCTGGCCTGCGACCCCGCGGACTCCACGCTGAAGAAGGAGGCGTTGGCGCTGTTGGGGCTCTCCGGCTCGGGATGTTTCTGTGGAGAGGCACGAGGAGAGGGGCCTTGCTCGGAGCTCCCAGTGGGCAGCGCTGAGGACCCTCCTTCCTCTCCCCGGGCGAGAAAGCGCCCCCCCCGCGTGCAAATGCTGCGCTTCTGCAAACGTCTCCCTTCTCACATCTGTGCACGTTTCTGTATGATTTATTCCGCCTCTAAGATCAACTCTGCTGGCACCGCCCAGCAGTGTTCCGTTCAAAGCCCCCAAGAGCCTAAAGCAGGGGTGTCAAACATGTGGCCTGGGGGCCGGATCAGGCCCCCGGAGGGCTTCCATCAGGCCCGCAGTGGAACTGGCTGGCTTCTGCTTCCAGTTCTGCTGATGCATAACAGCTTGATTCGCCAGAATCCTCTCAGTCGCTCAGCCATTTCATGTTTCCCCCCCTGGGTCCTAGACTCAGAACTCTGAGCATGAGACTTCTGTGCTGAATGTCAATACATCAAAAGCTAATGTTCTAAGCGTGTTTTTTATTTTAAATTTAAAAAAACAACCCTTTGTGTGTGTGTCCTTTATAGAGTTTGTATCTCCGCTACCTGGCATCAATTGTTTGGGGGTTTTTTGGAAAATTTTATTTTCAATTTTCCATAAGAACATAACATAAAATCCAAGTATATCTTATTCTCCAACATTTGGGGGTTACATTAAACCTTTTCTTCAATCCATTTATTGACTTTTTGCCATTTTGGTTTAAAGCTATTATCTGTTTTTCCCGCCAAAGACATATTCAGCTTATCCATTTCTATTATTTCAAAAAGTTTCATAATCAACTCTTCCTTACTCGGTTTTCTATCTGTTTTCCAATTCTTTGCAATACTTATTCTTGACATTGTGATTATATATAATATGATACACTTTATGACACGCATGGCCCAGCCCGACAAGGTCTCATTTATGTCAGATCCGGCCATCATTAGAAATGAGTTCGACACTCCTGGCCTAAAGTATATGTTCTGATCTGGGCCCAGCTGCCCCAGAAGTGCCTCGTGTTCCCCATAGGCCCATAGCCACGCAGCAACATCTTCCCAGTGGAGCAGCAGAATCAGCCACCTGATTCCCTCCCGGCCAGGGCCACCAACTCCAGGTTGGGAAATTCCAGGAACCTTGGGGGTAGAGTCTGAGGAAGGTGGTGTTTAGGGAGGGGACAGACATCAGGCCCTAGAGTCCGCCTCCAAAAGAGCTACTTCCTCCAGGGGAAATGACCTCGGCAGTCCGAAGATCTGTACTCTGACCTTTGTCATCCGCAGGTCAGTTGCAATTCCTGGAGATCTCCAGGTGCCACCTGGCGATTGGAAACCCTAACCCCCAGCATGATTTTCACACAGAAAAATGGCTTTGGGGAGGGGTAAAGGTAAAGGTCTCCCTTGCTCGAAAGCCGGTCGAGTCCGATTCTAGGGCTGCGGTGCTCATCCCCGTTTCAAAGCCGAAGCGCTGTCCGAAGACGTTTCCGTGGTCATGTGGCCGGCATGACTAAACACCAAGGCGCACGGAACGCTGTTCCCTTC